ATTCGGTCACATGAATAAAAAAATATAGATGCGCGTATTCGTGGAGGAAGCACAGCGTGTTAAAAACTGTAGACGTTGTAGAGAGAAAATGCGATAGTTTGGGTATTCGCTCTCTCTCTTTTAATTTTATTTGTTCTTTTATTTTTACACACAGGTCAAGAAAAGACATAGATAAATAATTTAAGGTATTTGTTTGAATCTCAAATGATTCGTGTTTATATTTACTATTCCCCGTGTTGTGATTGGTTCATTTAAGTTTCGCGCCACTTTTACGCTCACATTTTGACATTTGCCAGAAAAATTGAGTTCGCCATTGTTGAGTTTCGTAGTGTAATCTATAGTCCATTGAAAAGTTACATTTGGGGTTGCAAAAGTCAGAGCACGCAATTTTATTTTGGACGTTAAGAAGGGGTTAGTGTAAAGTTAAATCCATGTTTGTGGGGTCGCAACCCTTGTGCATCGGCCGCCATCTTGTAAAAAGGGCTGCGAATGGTTTTTATACTACTACTTACTATATCGGGCAAACTATTCGTCGCACAGAAAATTTCTAAATACATTTTTTGTTGCAATGTAAATTCTCTACAAATTTAAACATTTAGTCGTAGAACCAAAATTAACAAAGTTATTAACGAAAATAGATACAAATTTGGGAACAAATTTTCTTTTGGTCGTTATAACTTTTTTTCTGGTCATTTTACAAAAAAATTACATCAGAGCATTTTGATAGAGGGTTTTTTCAAGGAATAATTTCCATTACAAACTTTTTCAAATTTTATTTATTTATTAGGGTTATACAGCGTTGCGGAACTTATACATTAATATGAATGATTAGACATAGGAGGTGTCCTTCCAAGTTTTCTTCCAGTTGTGCTACCACGTGCGTGCGTAACGTATTTAATTGTGAAAAGTATTTTGAGTTTTGTGGACACTATTTTGAATTTTGTGGACAAGAGGTGGGTTTCAGTGTCGACCAAGCAGAATCAGATGCAGATACCCTCATCGCTCGCTCCACTCTTGCTTCATCCCAATCGTTCGACTCAGTCACTATTGTCGCCGAAGATATCGACATTCTTGTCTTGCTCACGGCATTTGGAAGAACACATTCAAATGTATTTTTTTAAACCATTAAAAGGACGTACAGCCGAACAATTATATTGTCCGTCAAGTTTTTTGTACGGAGACGTCATTGTGGTTAATCTGTTGTTTCTCTATGCCTTCAGGATGTGACACGACTTCAGCAGTTTACAGCATCGGTAAAATGAAATTTCTCATAATCCTTGAGACACGTCCTGAGTTAGCTAGTGGAACAGCGTTATTCCTCAATGAGAGAATCGACCCTACTTTGCTCACTGCCGTTGGCGAACGTTTTTTCATCTCTTTATATGGTGGCAATAAAGATATGATGATTTTCTTGACAGTCTTAGATATAAACGATTCACCAAGTCAATGACAAAGAATACATTTAATTTGTCTTCACTTCCTCCAACACAAGACACAGCCCGCTTGCACAGCATTCGAGTCTATCATCAGGTCCAGTCGTGGCTCGGGAATTACAACGACCCTCAAGACTGGGTCTGGAAAAAGTATGGACAAATATTGATGCCTGTTCAAAGTTCAAAACCTCCAGCATCCCCTGTGCTTCTAAAGTTGATATTCTGCCGATGCAAAGGAACCTATGGAGCAATGTGTGAATGTCGGAAGGCAGGCCTCAAATGTTCTACAGTGTGCCTGAATTGTTCTGGGGAGACATGCAGCAACATAATGGAGATATCAAAGTTGATCGAGCAGAATGATTTTGAAGATGAACTGCCAACAATGACGCCACTTCATTCTCCATCCTTCCTCAACAATTCAAAATCGGAAGCTCAACCAGATCCTGAGTCGCAGCCTGGCCCATCAAAGAGACTGAGGACACAGTAGATTGGGAAATATATTTCGATATTTTTATGTCAGCTAGGAAATGTCCGTGGATTCTGCCTACTAGGGATACGACGTAAAAAAACGCGCCACCAAACTACCTCGTAGGAGGTGAGGAAAAGAGTCAATAACTAATTAACAACATTGCAATGTCAATCATTAAAATGTTTCTTTTAAAAATAATGGAAAGATGAGAGAAAACCTAATCATTCATATTAATGTATACTTACTAGTACTGGAGAATAGTGTAAGATTCGCATCGCTGTAAAACCCTAACAAATAAATCAAATTTGAAATAGGTTTGAAATGGAAATTATTCCTTGAAAATCCCTCTATCAAAATGCTCTGATGTAATTTTTTTGTAAAATTACCAGAAAAAAAGTTATAACGACCAAAAGAAAATTTGTTCCCAAATTTGTATCTATTTTCGTTAATAACTTTGTTATTTTTGGTTCTACGACTAAAAGTTATGGCACTAAATTTGTAGAGAATTTAATTTGCAACAAAAAATGCAATTACAAATTATCTGTGCAGAGAATAGTTTGCCCGATATAGTAAGTAGTAATATAAAAACCATTCGCAGCCCTTTTTACAAGATGGCGGCCGATGCACAAGGGTTGCGACCCCACAAACATAGATTTAACTTTACACTAACCCCCTCTTGACATCTAAAAAATAAAATTGCGTGCTCTGACTTTTGCACGCTAAGCCCAAAAAAATGTAACATTTCAATAGACTACTAATGTTTTTGCGTGTTTAATTATTTCGTCCTTGTTAGTAAGATTTTTTCCAGTGAAAAAAGTGTTGAACAATACCGAAGAAGTGCTATATTTGCAATATGTACCAAATGAAAGAAAATCAACGATCGTTCCATAAATAAGTAACAATAATCATAGACGTAGCAATAAAACAAGCTGTTGGGGTTAAATTTAAATATTTCGCTTTGACAAAATTTAAGTGCCAAAAAGCATTAGTAAATCAAATAAACAAAGGCGTAAAAAATTTAATCGATTTTTTTATATGTTACAGATTTCCGAAAAATCTTCTAATTAGAAGACACTGGTTTAGATGCTTGGGAATTCCATATACAGAAACAATATCTATATATACCTATGTATGCTCTGACCACTTTTGTAATAAAATGCAGGATAATATTCTTAGGATAAGGCATAAGTTAACAACAAATATTTTATTTCATAATCAATAAATTTCTATTTGAATAATATGGTTGTCTTTTTTCATTCATAACATTCATTCGATAGGGACAACCTAAAAAATAAACCAATTAACAGCTTTATTAGGGACAAACTTTAACTCCAGTAATATAGCCGTAACCTGCAATGTAAAAATCTACATGTAATTCTATATAAAATATATATTTAAACCTGTTCTAATTTTACACCGTGTCATACAGCTATTAAAATTAAAACTAGGGTATACCTACCCAAATGGAATTTAAATACTTTGTTTTGTTAAAATCTCGTGAAAATCATATTTATTAACATTAAGCTTAAGAGTATGATGAAATGTATCATTCCTTTTGTATATAAATGAGAGTAAAATTGTGTCAGTATATCATCTCCAGCGTATTCCAGGAAGAAGTAAATGTAGGGGACTGTGAAGTTCATAAGTAATAAAATAGGTTGAAGAAAAGTTAAATAATCTCATAGATACCTTAAGAAATAAAACAGGCTTTCTTAGCATACCTATTAATGGCACCATATTTTCCCGTATTACTAGTTATCTGCAGAAAATAAAATTTATAATTATAATTATTAAACTTGTTATTTTAGTTGCAATCAGCCCCTATAAAATGATACGCCACTGCCCATGAGGAAATGTAAACACAACTTCCTCACCCCTCCCATGAACTATTTTGGCTTCAAACCACATAGGTATAAATTATGTATCTATGTCTTTTCTTGATCTGTGTTTTTACATATAATCTCATATAATAACTAATGTCATTTTGTAGCAGTATCATTGAGTCAATTAATGAAAATCAAAAAACCATCGGCATATTTTACGTTCTATCAAGAGCCTTTGATGTCATTAATCCTACTCACTTACTCAATAAACTTGAGAAATATGGTATTCGTGGCCCACCACTATTGTGGATTCCATCGCATCTAAGCGATAGAAGTCAAATTGTAAGAATTAAAGATGTTTATTTATCAAAAAAAGTTTCTGTGGGTATCGAGGGAGTGTTTTAGCCCCACTCTAACTACACTCTAACTCTAATTACATTATTTATAAATGACCCTACCCTAAGACTTGAGGTCACTTGTTCTAGTTCGTTATTTGCAAACGACACATCTTGTTTAATTAGCTCAAAGGGAGAGTGTGATTTATGTAGATTATCGGAGGAATGCGTTGCTCAAATGGAACACTGGTGTTGTCAAAACGGCCTAGTGCTGAATTTAATAAAAACAAATTGTATAGAATTTTCATCTATTAATCTAAGACGGGACATAGCTTATTAATTAAGTCTTTAACGGGAGGTTTATTGCAAAGTTGATGCTGTTAAGTTTTTGGGAATTCACTTTGATAATCACATTTTATGGGAATTTCATATAAATGGAATTTTTTAAAAATTGGCTACAGAAAATTATGCTATCTGGAGTTTAGAAATTTTAAAACTATATCTACTATTACGGTTGCATTGAATCTATAATAAATTATGGAATTATCTGTTGGGAGTACAGTAGTAGTCGATATAAAGTTTTTATAAGTAATGCAAAAAAGAATAATCAGAAATATATTCAATTTAAAACGTACGTAGATCTTATTTTAAACAAAATGGAATTTTAACTGTTTATTCTTTGTATATCCTTAAACTGCGTGATTTATATAAAACCAAATTTAGAAAAATTCCCAAAAGAGGTGATCTGAATTCAAACGAATTAAGAAATTCAAACATTCTACACATGCCATACTGTAGAACTACCCAAGTCTCCAAATCGTCTAAAAAAATGTCACTCAAATTATATAATCATCTGCCTCACGATATCCGAGATATTCCAAATACTATACATTTTAAATACGGACTAAAGAAATTATTAAAGTTCTATTATTTTTATAATTTAGAGGAATACCTCACTAGCGATTTCTTGGACTGGCGTTAGGGACCTTATTTTTTCCTGAAGAATGGCCTCTTTATGTTTGTGCACTTCCTCCTGGGACAAACGAAAGTACAAAAAGTCCAAAAATCAGAATCGTATCTACTTTTTTATTGAGGAATTACTTTTTAAATAAATATAGTAAATTTATATAAAATTATTAGAATATGACATTAACGAATATATACACGAAAGTATTTTGTTTCACGTGGCAACGTTGACAAACTCAGTACAGACTTGATCTACTAGTGTTTAATTTCTCTATACATATAATCTTATATATTTTGAAAAAAGAGATATAAAAAAACTTTAATAACAAAAGTTGTTGAGAAAAAAGTGGCCTTTCATGTGTTTCAAACAAATATTAATAAAATTGAAAAATAAAAAATTAATTTCGATGACGTCACAGCCCTTAGGACGGTTATCTTACCAAGAGCCGAATGTTTGTATCATAATGCTACAAAGATCCTCGCTTGTGGTTTCCTATTTTCAGTAGGCACTGACTTTCGAATAGGAAAATGAATATGACCGAAATTGTAAAAAAGTTTAATAGAAATACAAATTTAGAAAAAAAGGTGAAGTTGAATTAGATTAGAATACTATCAAATATTCGTAACTCGTAACTGATGCAGTGGAAAATTGAAATATATTTTACAAATATTGAGACGTTTCGTTTTCTAAAAACCGCTACCAACAATAAAATCATGGCCAAAAACAAAAGGCGAACTCAAAAAAATAATTTCTTGCTTCAAGGGTACAACATTTGATTTTAATGTATCGCACGTTTCCTATGGTACCTATGGGTAAGAAAATATTTTCTTCAAGAAAATTATTTATTTATTTTTCTACCAACAAATACTTATAATTTCTTATTTCAAAAATAGGTAGCATTTATAATAAATATTTGATATACTTACGGTTAAATGAACTCTATTCTTAATTTTATGATCTACATACATAGATTTTTTATGTTTTGTATTGTATATTAATGTAACGTTTGTTTAATACAAAATTTAATAGTTTTGGTCAAATGATTGTATACACTTATTTTAAGAATATAATTTCTATAATATATCTCAGTAATAATTTTTTTTTTAAATTAGGATAGTTTTAAATTAAGATAAACGTTTATTTAGTTTAATAAATTTATGGTGGCTTAATTAAAGATTAGTATAGGTTTAACATAAATTTCTTTAGAAAATATAAAACATTGAATTTTCTCTTGTCATATAAATATACATATACAAGGTGTCACGTGTCCCACGTTTGTGTCCTTTTTATTTGTAAAACCTCTATAACAGTAAAAAAATAGGTAATAAAACACTCTTTAAAATAAAAAATGCATGGGTACATCTAGAAATGGTTGTAAAAACTAAAATGATAGAATACTTGGTTCAATTTTGAACAAAACAATAAGAACCTCATAATTTTGAAAATTTTATTCGAAATTATATTAACAAGAAAGAAAATTTCTTCCATAGTGACGGTGTTTGCTAGTATCTCCGCGGCTGGTTGATATTAATCATTATAAAAAATTCAGTAAATTTTTACTTTTATTTAGATGTCAGTAGTTCAAGTTTGATTAAATTATGTCAAACAGCTTTCGAGATATTCACATGAAGATATGAAGTCATCAGAGCTGGACAAAATGTATTTAAAATACAAATTACAAAATACTAGTACGAAAGTATTTTAAAATACTTAAAAACAAAATAAGTACTTCTTTGGCAAAGTATTTTAAATATAAATAACTTAGTTAAAATAGTATTTTAGGCCCGGTGCTTTGAGTCTCGATTAAGGCTTGATTAACTAATCAGGAGATTAGAGTGTGAATATACATTATAAAATAAATCAGTATTATATACAGTCTAATCGCCTGATCAGTTAAACAAGCTTTAACCGAGACTCAAAGTACCGGGCCTTAGTATGTTGAATAGTAAATATATTGAAAATATTCATTAACAGTTAAAATATTTTTGTGAAATATTAAATCTGAAACTCTTAAGATGTAACTTAAAAAATATATATTGTATGTGCAAGAGAAGCCTGATTTCAAGATCATCAATAAATAAAAAAAAAACTAGTCATAAGTCTGGACACAATAATCATTTTCATTTGGTGTACTGGACATTCAGAATATTTAATTCACTCATCATTTTATATTAGTTTTTCTTATAATAGTCCACTAATGATTAAAATAAATTAATTTTAAATTTTGATAATTGACTACTGACTTGATTAGTACGTACAACAGAATAGCACATTGCAGAATGCAGAGTAGAATGCACTAAATCCAGGCGTGCAGGTGGGAACGTAATTTTTTTAGCACGTGTTGTACCAGTCGCCAATCGTAACAGGCAAAAAGTATTTGTTTTTGGTATAGATATTTTGCGTATTTTAAATATTTCGAGTAATTTAAATACTCAAGTGTATTTAAATTACATTTAGAAGATGTTAAATACCTTTTTAAAGTACAAAATAGGTACTTTATTAAAGTACATATTCGAAATACAAAATATTTTTAGGGTTATAAGAAATGTATTTTAATTACAAAATACAAAATACTATTTTATATTTAAAATAGTATTTGGTATTTTTTTTGTGAAAATCCTTCCAGCTCTGGAAGTCAGCAACTTTTTCTTCAGAATCGAACAAGAATTTTTCATTTTTTTTTCCAACCATTTCCGGAACTCCCTGTATAGTTTAATTAGAATAATTAAAGGTCGTGTCGATAATGGCAATTAGTGGAAACAAAAAACTTTTGTTTGTAGATCTATTTTCGTTTTTCATTACTTACTTAATATTTTACCATGTAAATACCTATAAATGCCAGTTTTGTTAAAATTACATATTTGAAACATAAATAGGTAAGTATGCAGAATTAAATATTTGTATTTACAAAAACCATTTATATTGCTGTTTAGTAAAATATTGGAATTAAAAAAATTTTAATGTTAAAATGGTTCATATAAGAGTTACATCAACTGCTTACCAACCAAACGAAACCAAAAAAATATATATATTGGGGATGTCGTCAAGTGGTAGTTGGAAGAAAACTCTTTTTTAACTTAAACCAACACTGAAAGAAATCCACCAAGTGAGGGGCTTTGCTAAGATATTTTAGTGACAGTAGGTAAAATTTATGCTGTCACAGAAAAAAAATTCATGCTGCCACAAGTAAGTAGGTACCTACGTTTTGTTGAAACGTGTTTGCTACCACAACAAAAAAAAGTCTAGTGGCTATATGACAGTTCAGTTGGAATTTTATTTTAGTGGACTGTCTATCTGTCCCCAGTGAGTTGCTTTGCTCGGGTAAGTGAATACATCTTTTTAGAATTGATCCAAATGGGGTTAGTCAGTCCTTATTTGTAGCAAATTAGGGCTCACTTACTGTAACGGAGGCCTCACTTAATAATTTCCAAAATAAACCGGATATGCCACCACGTAGCACCGGATATACGTTCGTCAATCGTTAGTCATTGGGTCCTTTAAAATAAATAGATTTTGGGTATTTGCGTAGGTATGCAATAGTACTTATATGCATGCGTGGCTGAATACAAACTCTCACTTCTCGAATAGGGATTTAAAGATTATTTATGCTAGTTTGAAGGTATGTACAACATTTTTAGTTGCATTGCATGGTGCACGAAGAGTGAGGAGAGCCAACAACACCGAAAAATAGTAAATACGGAGTTGACTCACTTGGAGTTAATGAGTTGAAGGGTTAATGATTTTACTCGGTTGGGGTTAATGAGTTGACTCGCTTGGCGTTAATGAGTTGACTCGCTTGAGGTTAATGAGTTGACTAGCTTGGGATTAATGAGGACTCGCTTGGGGTTAATGAGTTGACTCATTTGGGGTCAATGAGTTGAGTCGCTTGAAGTTAATGAGTTGACTTAGTTGAAGTAGCAAAGGGATTATAGCAAAACTGTCTACTTACTGCAAGTGAGTTCCTTCCAGCAAAGCAGTTTTTCTTGAGGTAAGAAGGAAACTCACTTGGCGCCTATTTAATGCAGATATTATGCTACGGTTAATGGATTTTTACTAATCGTAGCAAAGAAATTCTCTCAGGGAAGCTTTCGAGCTTTCACAGCTCCACAAAAAAAATCTAGAAAATTACCCTTGCAGTATGACCATGTCTATCATACGTTTTCGGGGTCGCTGAATTCAAATTCTGGATCCATTTATCCCTATCACTTCAGGATTTTTCATAACTTCAAAAAATAGGCCCAGAAACGCAATAAATCCTCTACCTACCTATCCATTGACCACTTAATTCCAATAACCCCATAACCCCTTAATCTCTTAAAGCTTTAATCCCCTTAATCCCGTAACCTCAAAATTCCATAACCCCAAAACCCTAGTACCCGTTAAGAAAGAGATTTATGTGTTTTGAAGCGTTCGAGCCATGCATGCTTCTTGAGCCTTAAACTCACAATCTTCAATAACCCTATAACTCCGAAACCCCATAACCCAGTGAGAACGAGACTTTCGTTGGGAGAACCTTGTTTTGCCGAACTCAGGAACAACGACGAGGACGTAGTAGGCTGTTCCCTTTGGGGTGCTTTATTAACATGTGTTCCCCTTGCCTCGCACTTTTCGGTGTGCTTTATTAAAGTGAGGTCCCCTTGCCTCTCACTTTTCGGAGTGCTTTTCGACAGTGTGTTCTCCTTGCTTCACACGAATAGCAATGATGTCCGAAGATATGACTCATAAGAGTTGGCACTTCAGTATATTCTTTACTGGGTTATGAGGTTATGGGGTTATGAGGTTATTAAAGAGTATAGGCAACGAATATAGACCTCTTATAGAAGAACGCTCATAGGTTACAAGTCAGGGACGAAATTGAAATGCACGTAGAGCCTATACTAGACTATAGCTGTCCTCCAAAATTACATAGGAGAAACCTATAATATAGGTACCTACTATACACTTCCCCCAAGATTTCGTCCCCGATTTCCAACCCTCAGCGTTCTAAGAGGTCTATTATATTCGTTGGTCTAGGTTTAAGGGCCCCATATTATTTAAATAGTGTTTTCCGCAAAGACAAATAATTTCAAACATTTAATAACTGAATAATCTAAAGCTTATCAAATAATAGGAATGTTATGTCATGCCACATGAGTATTTTCAAAGACGCCGCAGTAAAACGAATAAACAGGTGCAAAAAACGATCAAACCATCAAGGTTTTAGATACAGAAATCTACGAAAATACTAACTTTTTTATATATAATTCCTTATAACATTTACTTGCTTAGTCCTACCACAGACAAAATAGCTATCGCCACAGACCGCTCCTGGAATAGGCCAGCAGTTTTAAATTTCCGAATTGCCCGTAGAGTACACCACCAGCAGAATTTTAGGAAGAATCAAATACAGCGGCCCGCATACCTAAGCGTATCCTAGCAACATATAAACAAGACTTTGGTAATGTTGCCAGGCGTACTTACGGATTTCTTTTGTACACTTTTTTATCAATATCTGTTTTTTGTGATACTGTATTTACTTCAATGTATGATGTAGGTATTGATAAAAATGTTTTTAAAGAATCAACGAATATCTATGTATGTATCATATGATATTCTGCAGTGGTGTTACAATTAAGTTATTTAATCATAATTTCGTTAATTAGCTACCTACTATTTTCATTTTTTGGTATTGAAATACTGCAGAAAATATATTTCCAAATAAACAAAATTCGTAAAATATTTTAAACAGCTTGTAATATAATTTTTTTAATATTTGATGATGACGATAAATTTATTTAATATACAAGGTGGGTTATTAGTACGTCGCGGAATGTAGGTACAGGTTTTTTTTTGTATTTTGACATCCACTTATAGGTTTAATAATTAAAGATAGAAAGAAACTTTAAATACAAATGTACGACTTTTCCTTTATTTCATTTGACATCAAAATTTACTGGCATAAAATATATGTTTAAAATAAAAAAATCATTAAAAAAAAAATAAAATTCATCCTTATGAAAATAACAAACAACGCTTTTTATAACTAACCTTTACAACAACATAAGGAGAATAACTAAAAACGAAATAACATAAATATACCTACAATTTTTACAAATCAACATGCAAGTGATTGTGATGATACAGTTGAAAATATGTTTCAATTTACTATTAATTGCTTCAAAAACAAATTCAAAATTATCAAGTATTTCGTCCTGTATTTTTTTTTCAATACTTGCAAATTTTCAGGTAAAAAAAATATGTCTAAAGGACTGACAATGAGATCGGGGCTGTTTTCTGGCCACCTAAGGTTTCTAATAATATTTTTTAGTGTTCGTTGACGGGATTCTTCCTCCAAGGTAAATTTGCCAATATTCCAGAAGAACTTTTGCACATTATTGTTATTTGAATAATGCAGTTAATTATGTTTTATTTTTCGTCATCAGAATAACTCATTGTAATTTTTTAAATTTTTTAAATTAAAATGGGTTATTCTAATAATGATAAATCCCATGTATTTTTAAAAGAAGGTTCGTTTCTGTCGTTTTTGTTTGATTGTGTGCGAGAGAGATAGAGTTATAGTGTGCGATAGAGATAGAGTTATAGTGTGCGATAGAGATAGAGTGACTCTGTCCTCATAGAAAGCTTATCTCTATGAGGACAAAAAAACAAAAAAGTTAGTTAGTTAAAAATTGCAACAGCAGAAGCGAACGCATTATCTTATCTCTGTATTGATTGATAATTTGTTGTTTTTTTTTAAAATAAATTTCGTATTCAACTATTCCTCGAGGTTCCAGCAATTTTACATTGTGTTAATTTTTTTGAACACCTTGTGTCACAAATATGGGCACTACCAATGACATCCATAATATGCAACACTTATCAATAAATCCTATCAATAAATAATTATTTACCTATCTAAAGAAATCAACAATAAGAGGCAATACCCATCTAAGGATACACAATCTGTATAATGCAATTTTTTTAAACATAGGTTTTGATATCGTACCATATTGGAAGTCGACGCACAAATCTAAAAACATTACTTTCGAGTTTTTGAATTTTCCCATTCCAAGGTGATATAAAATAAATAATTAAATAGGTAAATTCATAGTTTTAATTCTAACTTGATTTATTTTATTTAACATTTAAGGCAAATGTGATTTCCAAACACAAGATAAGTTCCATATCTCTTTAATTACATAATTGAAAGCATTAAATTTATTTAGTAGTTATTATTTGGCAACAAAGCCACCGCTGGAACTGCCGCCTATTAGCAAGTAGAAGAGTTACCACGCTAAATTTTAGAGCTGGAAGCCGGCTAAGGAGACCCTGCTTCCATTTCGGGTTGCCAATTTCCAGCATTTAAGTAGCAGTCTGTAGCGATACGCTATATTGTCTGTGATCCTACATATAAAATTGTTTACTTTTATATATAAGTACGTGAAAATAATTCTTAAAATGTGGGGTTAGAATAACAGCAAACGCATGTTTTACAAACGCTTTTTTTTAGTTATTATTTTATTTGAGTAAATTTAAATGGTAACAATGAATAAACAAAACATCAAGGATTTTATTTTTGTGCTTACATTTGTTCTACACGTTTTACTTTTAAAGATTTCAGTACCTAACAACTCCAGAAATTTCACTATTTTTCGGCCAGGAATATGGCCACCTTAAGGCTCAAGAACATACTCGAACATACTGTGTTTCAGGGCTTTAACGCGCATAAGTCTCTTTCTCTCTTTCTTATCGGATTCTGGGATTTTGGGGTTGTGGCATTTTGAGGTTATGGGGTTTAAGGGTTTAAGGGATTAAGGTGTTAAGGTTATGAAAAATTTTGACGTGGTAGGGTTAAATGGAATTTGGATTCAGCGACCCCGAAAACATATGATAGACGTAGTCAGACTCCAGGGATAATTTTCTCGATTTTTTTTTGTGGAACTGTGATAATTATCGAAAGCTTGATTTAAGTTAAAAAAGAGTTTTCTTTCAACTACCACTTGTTAACATCCCCAATATATATTTTTTGGTTTAGTTTGGTTGGTAAGCAGTTCTAAGTTTTATGATGTAACTCTACTGAACCATTTTAACCTTGAAAAAGATAATAAATAATTATCGAAAGCTTGGTTTAAGTTAAAAAAGAGATTTTTATCAACTACCACTTGGCGACATCCCCAATATATATTTTTTGGTATATATATTATAATTCTAAGAAAAATTATAGATTAGGTACAGAAAATATTTTACATAGTTCCTCGAAAATATATACATTTGAATATAATAAAATAATAGTTGCGATAAATTATTTTATTTAAAACTATCTGATACAAATACATTTTTTTTTGTGCGGCCTCTACGTTTTAGGTTTAAAACATATGCTTGTTTTCATCAACTCCAGCTTTTCTAGAAACCCTCCTATACCAAATTTTATGTAGAAGCCCGAACGTTGTTGAGCATATCTTAAAAAATTAATAAAAAGTTTTTTTGAAGGTTCTTTTTTTTTAAGGATGCAAAATATTGAGATTACCGTACGTATGGCCCACTTGCTTCCGAACATCTGTAAGATGATCATCTAAATAAAATAATATATACTTTAGATAACGTAGAACACCGTTTATGCATATTAATTATTAATAAAAGAATAGGCGACTAATTAAAATCCCGAAAGACAAAGGGTTGGTCTATGTACTCTGTAAAATAATTTTAATACATATTTTGAAAAACTAGCGTGTTTACATATACATAATTAATTTTGTTGTTCGAGCCGAGAGACGATCTTATAAGTTTCCATTTTAAAGTTGCTCTCATCCGAAAGCCGTGCCAAAGGGTTGAGATGACGCTGAGTAAACACCAAGACGAATCTCAAGCGCTTCCTTAATTAATAAACTTCTGCTAATGAAAGAAATAATTAATTTCTGCCTACCACTGTACTGCCGCCATTTTCAACAAAATCTTGAAACTTTCCCCCTAAATTTATAAGGGTTTTATGTGCTTTAGGTGCTATAAATGTTAAAGCAACCTAAGAACTAATTTAATATTTTTTAAACAAATAAGTTAAATATTTCGCGGATTAAATAAATCTCTACTACTCTATTCATCTCCACTACTTTGCAATGAATTTTAACTATTTTCTATTATGACGGTGAGAACCATTAACCCGAAATCCAAAGGGGGAAAGAGGTTGTCAAATGTAAGCCATCAACATACTTAAGTGGTTTTTTATTTATCTGACATTTAAGCTACTCTGAATTCTGTTATCTCCTTTTATTAGAAAGTAATATGTTTAAGGTCCGAGTATGAATTGTATATTCCAGGTTTATACTTTGTTTTCATACATTTAAAAACTGATATTAGATTAGATATAAAGGAAAAGAGGGTCTCTCTAATAACTGACATCGCTTACAGTTTTAGGAGAAGTTAGTCCGTCTGCGGCCACCTGGCAGTAAGGTCAATGTCGTTAGATCTAAAAAAGGCTACCTCAAAAAGAAACAATTCGTTGCTTAAACTGTTATAGTGGGGTAATAAAGGTAATAAATAATACTGATAAATGCGTAATTAGTCAGATTTGGAGACGTCGTTCGCAGTACCCCCTGACGGCCTACAATAGACAAAATTTGTGGACAAGCGTCAGCTCTTACAGTGACTCATCTGTTAGCGTAGCTTATAAATGCAATGGTGTTACTAGCTTTGCAAGATTACAAGTA